AGCCGCTTCTTCCGCCCGCTAGGCTGTGTGGTGTGACTCCAAGTTTCAGTCGTGGTTCCCCAAAGAAGCGGCCCGTGTTGCACGGTTTTATTGGGGACGACGCGAAGTGGGGTCCGCGAATGGGCGAAACATTCACTGCACGCTGCACTGGACGTATTCAAAGGGCGCGTTTCTCCGCCGGCGACCGTTTACCATATAAAGTGCGAGAACAGTTGTCGATGGGATTGATTCGTTACTCGGCCCCCTTTTATTCGGTCCGGTGGGAAGTGGCATCAAAGCATTTGCTCGCTCGGCCGTGAAAGGAATCGAGCTGCTGTTCTCGAACCGAGAGCTCTCACTCCACGAGTGCTTTTCACGGAATTTCTGTTTTTGATGCCTTTACCAAAACACTCGAAATCTTTAAGGGTTATTGATACTTCCAGCAAAGTATGTGGACACTTTCAAAGAGTGTGATGGGGGTAGCAGTCAAAAAATATATCACTTCTGTTTCCCTAGAGCGCAGCTGCCCGTCAGCCTTTCCTACCATGCAATGGCGCTATCTCGGCCGTTCGGGACAACGTTTACGCGTGCAACGTCAGAATCTTGTAATTTTGATGTGCGTTTACGTTAACCCACGAAAGTAACTCGAGCGCACTCTTCCCAATCCGTTAATACTATACCGATGACAACAATCATCATCATCCGCCTGACTACGTCCACTGCAGGACAAAGGCCTCTCCCATGCTCCGCCAGTCAACTGTAGGTCCAGTGCTTGCTACCGCCAATTTACACCCGCAAACTTCTTAATCTCATCTGCCCACCTAACCTTCTGTCTCCCCCTAACCCGCTTGCCTTCTCTAAGAATACATACACTTAGGACAGCAATCAGTAATTGTTCCCGTGTGCTCAGATTTGGGTGCACGTTAAAGAACCCCAGGTGGTCGAAATTTCCAGAGCCCTTCACTACAGCGTCTCTCATAATCATATGTGGTTTTGGGACGTTAAACCCCATATATCAGAATCAGTAATTCTTAATTGGTGGTTTGATCGTGTTAGGGGCATACTATATGACTACCCACGTTACAACTAATCCAATGGTCAGGACACAGATTACGCTGTTTTTTTTTTTCGATCACAAATCCTTCCAGGCAGGCCTCACGAAAACATCACACATTTCCCCCTGCAGGCAACCATGGTGGTATGCGAAAGCGTGGTCGATGATGGCTCTGGCCGCTACTTCGCGTTGCCTCGTCGCTTCGGGATCGGGAGCGGCCGCTCGACGCTGTCGTTGCCCTTCAACTTTCCGAGCCCGGAGTTCTGGGTCACCTTGATAACGCTGATGTTCCACTTTGGCGTGCCGAGCCAGTATTGCTCCCGCAGAAGTTTCCTGCCACTGTTGACGTTTGGATTCCCTGGCCCCAAGTTCGGGGTCCGCTCACCGACGCTGACGTTTACGTTCTGCTTCCCGAACCTCCCTCTGCTCCGCGGTGGTGGCGCTGCGGCTGTAACTAGCGCCGACGTTGACGTTGTTCCTGGCGTTCCGTAAACCGTTGCAAAGAGACAGGATGACGCAAGCACAGCTAACGCGTGTTTAGTACTGCGCCGTTACAATTGCACCGTATACAGACGTACCCTTGCATAGAGAGGGAGAGAGAGTTATAAGCAATGATTTGCTGCGCCGCACCTGTGGTGGAGAGAGGGATATGGGAGGAGGAAAGCGCATACCTGCATAAGAAAGGATAATTAGGGAGAGTTACGCATGTGCAGTATGGGTGCGGACGTCGCAGAACGGATAGTGCCCCGAGCACAAGATGCTCTTGCATCTCAAAGGCGTAAGCGGAACTTCTCCAACAATCTATGCCATGCCGTTTCGCGGTCCTCACTATTTTGCCAAATTCGCTACCGCGAGAACCAGAGTCGAACAGCGTCGTGCCGCTCGACCAATGACGTCAAACGTGACGTTTATACGCAAATCAAGTGACTCTTCTGCGCGTGACGGCGACTCGTAATACCACAATGGTACCGCTGTTGCGCTCTTCGGGTTACAAAAACACGCGGCGGAACCAGACAACTTGCGGTCCGATATTGTGTTTCAATCGCTCAGTAATGTATCAATGGCTGCCTACAATGCATTCGGATAATGCTACACTTTCAAGTTTATGCGAACCTGAAGAGGTACACCAGTACTATGCACCGATATATGTATGGTCGGGGTTTGTTACCAAGCTCACAACATCGTCCATCTCTTGCGTTTTCGGCGGCGCATTGATTCGAACAGCTCGACAGCCGAACCACTGACACCTCCCATGCGCCAAGCATCAAAGGCCTCCCTTCTAAAGACTTCCTAGCCACTCCGATTCCAAAACACTCCCATCACGTGGCATTTTCCTGTAATGGCCGTATCCCCGAAAGTGAAGAATCGCGAAGAGTGCGCTGTTGCTTCGCACCACCACCGCTCTGGCGAGCGCGTTGCTTGTGGGTGCATATTTTACGCTCCTCCAAGTGCTTTCTGTGAGTGGGCATACATAAAGTGCGTGGTCATTTTTCTCCGCGTCCGGTCCTTCTCTCGCCCTTACAGCGAAGGTTTCTGACAGCTCACAGAGACGCGCAACGTTCGTGAATAATATGCGCCCTAATCGGCCACCTCTTCTTCTTGCTCCTCTTTTATCACTGTTTTCCTTCTGGCAGAATCTAATAACCGCGCGGCATCTTCGTGACGAAAACGAGTGTTTACCACGTCCAGAAGCGCTGCAACGAGTTGCCCGCTATATACGAGCTGCACGTGCGCGTATACCCTTACCCCCGTATTCACAAACGCTCCTTCACTCAAGGGCTCTCCTCGACTTGAAAAAGTCGATCGGAGCGCCATCTCTTGGCAGACCAAGTCACTGCTTATCGGCAATATTCTGCAGCGATTCTTGAGAAGCGCAGCGTCAATTTCATTCGAGCAGCGGCGCAGTGCTCAACTCAGTCGAGTGAAGGATGGAATTCGACTCGAGGAGCGTTTCTGAATACGGGGGTTAGACTCGCGAAGCTTGGCTCTTATGTGTTTTCCCTTGACGTGCGAAGTCCACTCACGTGACTCATTTAAGAGGGGTCGCCCAGATAAGCTTTGTATAAAGCCTGCAACTCAACGTATAGACTCACAAAACTTTGTCTCTCCTTTTACACACGTGGTTCTCACGTGTATAACACTCCCTTTAGAGAGGCACGTTGACTCTCTTTAAGAGAGTCGTGGGACGAACGACTCTCCTAAAGAGCGTCAACGTGCCTCTCTAAAGGGAGTGCAACACACATGTGATTCTCACATGTACAAAACAGGAGCCAAAGAACTCCTTTTCCTCTATTAGAGTGTAAAATGAACGTGGAAGGGGAAGAGTACACTGTTTAGCTTACAATTAACCGCAAGTGCAAACAGTAGGACACAAAGTATTTATCCTGTCATTATATAGCCAAGTATAGAATAACCTTTGCGCTAAATTCTGACTACAGTTTAAAAATCGTAACTATTATTTTTACATGTCTTATTCACAACTGTGGCGCTCCCTTTAGAGAGGCTTGCTGACTCTCTTTAGGAGAGTAGTGGCACGCCCAACTGTCCAAAAGGGAGTCAGTGCACGACTCTCCTAAATAGAGTCAGCGACTGTTTAGGAGAGTTGTGCACTAACTTTTTCTTTTTTTTTTTGAAAGTTGGGCGTGCCACTACCTCCTAAAGAGAGTATGTGTGCCTATTTAAAGTAAGTGCTACACATGTGACTCGCACGTATAAAAGGAGGATCAAAGGACACCTTTCTTAGAGCCCCGTGGTGGTGGTCTAGTGGCTAAGGTACTCGGCTGCTGACCGCGGGATCGAATCCCGGCTGCTGCAACTGTAAGGCCCGTGTGCTCAGATTTCAGCTCACGTTAAAGAACCCCAGGTGGTCGAAATTTCGGGAGCCCTGCTCTACGGCGTCTGTCATAATCATATAGTGGTTTTGAGACGTTAAACCCCACATATTATCATCATCATCATCATCATCATCATCACCTCTCCTAGTGTAAAATAACTACAAATTTCAGAAAAATGGGCTTGCAATCTATGTTCTGACTACCAAAACAGCATGGCCGTACTCTTTCTTTCTTGCTAAACGCTGGTAAAGGTAAAAATAAGAATAAAGGTGAAGTCACTATTAATTTTTGCAATGTGCATAACCCATAAATACTTCGGATCTAGTTTGGAAGGCTTACTCTTCAATGTTGTAGGCCCGTGTGCTCAGATTTGGGTGCACGTTAAAGAACCCCAGGTGGTCTAAATTACCGGAGCCCTCCACTACGGTGTCTCTCATAATCATATGGTGATTTTGGGACGTTCAACCCCACATATCATATCAAATTTAGAGAGCCTATGCATGACCGGCCAAATGACCTGTCGTGTAAGCTCTCTATTTTCCCACTCAAAAGTGTAGTGGTGGAAAGGTACGCAGCGTTACAAAGAGAGTCCCCTCATCCAGGAACTTTGTCTTTTATAGGATCACTATATGTTGTATGGCACAAAGAAACGACGGGACACACAAAGATGCACACACAACAAAGCGCTACAAGTAGTGCTCCGTTGTGTGTATGTCTTTCCTGTGTGCCGTTGATTCGTTGCGCCGTCTAATCTCCACCGATGCTATGTTAACACGCCCAATATTAAACACGCCCGATAGCTTCTCGTTCTACGTAAAAAAGAACTGCAGCTTTAACAACGTCAAACGATTGAATTGATAATGCACTACAAATTGTAAGATCACCTTTGAAAAACTGCAGATATTCCCTCAAGCAAAACGGATCTCGTGGTCGCAAATCTTGAGCGGACACGTACTATGCATGCAGGTGATGAGGGCGATTGTGTACACTGCGCTATGGTCATATTTTCAGGTGCAGCATGCTTAAGTGAAGCGACTTCTATGAGTGACATCGTTTTCTTCGCATTGCGCGGCCTTACGCCGGCCCGTAAGGGAGACGTGTATTTGACAGAGTTCGCCTGTTTCCCCATGCAGTGTGCACCTTCATCTACAACAGCTCCGAGGTGTCCAACGGCACCTTCTCCACGCCCAACTACCCGGGCGTCTACCCGCGGGACACCGAGTGCCACTACCTCTTCTACGGCAAGAGCAACGAGAAGATATACATCGAGTTCGCCTACTTCGATGTCGAAGGCGTACCACCGTACGTATACACGCGCAACTGCATCGCATTCGCAGCAAAGTCCATAGTTACCTACAGCTCGCTCATCTTATAATCTCCAAGTGTTAGAAAAATTGAATACAATAAATTACTACTTCCCTAGCTTATAATGATAGATCCCACATTAATGGTTCTAACAGCGGGCGTTACCGCTTTGAAACGCTATGTACACAATTGCGTACACCACTTGTAAAAATGACAGGGCTGCTTCATAAAAACTCGATAATGGGCTAGTTGGTTAGACAAGATCAACGTTTATCACGCAAACTGTGTACAGAAAAAGGGCTGAAGAGAGCGACGAAAGACGTACAAAACACATCAGCGTAAACTAAAAAAAAATGTTTAACACACAGCTCTTGCCACGCATGTGGTCTTACTATATTTATCATGCTTATCTACGTAATAGGCAGTTAGCTTGGGCCGTTGTGTTTTCTGCGTACTCCATCACTGTTTTTAGCACATTTTGAGGAGTTTGCGCAAGACACGGGGGGTAAGCGCTACGAAAAGCGGGTATGTACCAGCTTCTAGTATACTATTGTATAGTATAGCATTGTTTAGCATAGTTAGTGTAGTAAAATACACCAAAATGGTAAGAAAGAAAACTGGGGGAAACTGAAGTGAAGGTCAGCAGGAGGGAAAAGAAACGAGATGGCAGTATTAAAAAATCAGAAAGATGTAGGAAAAAGTCAAGAACTAAAACAAAAAGAAGAAAGAAAGAAAGAAAGATGAACAATATGATGAATAAAATACTAAGAAAGAACTGAGTCTACGCTCGTCGAGTGGTGGTGCTTTTTCTCTAGCTCTGCTGTTATCTCATATTTCGCAGGCATACAACTGCCTTTAGTTTTTCTTGGTGCTTAGCATCCACTAGGGGCTAAGAAAAAGCAAGATGCATGAAGCTTTCCATGATTTGAACCTCCTGCATAGTAAATTTGCCTTCATTTACCTCAATTTTGAAGTGTGTGGTTGCGTATATATGATCACTGCGCTCAAAGCACTAGAGTAGTTCGACGTGCTCCTTTCGAACAGCCGTGAAAAAATTATACCTTTTATTTCCTTGAAATGATCATAACCAAAAACCAACAAGTCGAGCCTGAAATTTGATTCCATTTATGCAAAACAGCAGAAGGATGACTTTAAGGTAAATAAATATTTATTACAATTTAATAAGAAGAAAGTTCAATTGCAAATAAACTAATGTATAAAGGTATAATTTTATTAAAGTATTGATTTGACACACTCGCAGAGATTTCTTCACAGCTAGACCTTGGGAAGGTTACCTGTTTTCGTTTAGCAGTATTAGCAGGGATGCAGTTTAGCAGGGATGTTGGTTTGGAGTTGGAGCAGTATTGTAGGGTTCGCAGACAAAAAACTTCAAGATTCAGTATTTTTTTTTCTTATCCTTTTCTGTTGACGTACGTAGCACACACCTGCTCCAAAGTGATGCTGCATTACTTGAGCTCAAAGATGGCTTCTTAGTTGACAAATTGAGGCACACGTGTCTGAGAGTGACCGGCTGAGTAATATTTTGGGGAGTTTTTGTACAAGTGACTCTGGTTGAGGAAAATATTAAGCAGTGGGAGTTCGAATGCATTTGGTTGAAAAAAATTATTTGTCCAAGCCCCAAACACAAGATATATTTCTTGAGTCCATCAAAATACATTCAACTAGAACACACCGCACCAGTCTGGTCTTCCCACCAGAACACAGCACACCAGGATAATGTCCGCACCAGGGCACAGCAGCGTGTTTTGGTGTATCAATTAGGTTACACCGGAATACATCAGACAGACTCTGGTGGGTTTTTCAACTGCGTAGGGTAAATAAGGTGTCAAATACAATTTAATACGAATAAGTTCAACTACACATAAACTAACGTATGAAGGCATTATTTTTATTAAAATAGGAGTATTGATTTGATGCATTCATAAAAATTTCTTCACAGCAAGACTCTAAAACGGTTAGCTGTTTTCGTTTAGCAGTCTTTCTCGTGAGGTTCGCAGACACAAAGCTTCAAGATGCAGTATTCTTGTCTTTCTTCTTAGCCTTTTCTGTCGATGCATGTAGCACACACATGCTCTAAAGTGATTCTGCATTGCTTGAGCTCGAACATGGCTTCTTAGTAGACAAATTGAGGTACACAAGTCTGGGAGCGACCGGCTGAGTAATATTTTGGTGAGTTTTAGTACAAGTGAGACTGGTTGAGGAAAATATTAAGAAGTGTAAAATATAATGCATTTGGTTGAAGAAAATTCTTAGTCCTAGCCCCAAACACAAAATATATTTCTTGAGTCCACCAGAACTCATCCAACCAGAAAATACCACATCAGTTAGTTATTCCCACCAGAACATGCCAGTCTGAGTCGGCGTTCCCACCAGGACACATGACAGTGGTTCGGCATTATTACCAGGACACACCACGCTGAGTCACCTTTCACATCAGGACACATTCCACCAAGACACACTAGAGTGGGTCCGTGTTCCCACCAGAACACAACACACCAGGCTGGTGTATACATTAGGACACGCCAGCGTGTCCTGGTTATACACCATATCACACCAGAACACACCAGACACACTTGGGCTTTTCAACTGGGGTGGATCTTATGTTGGCCGTAATGCGAGCGCCTCCAATACAGAGCACAACTTCGGCGCCTTCTTTAGAAGAACAGGGATGACGAATGCGTCATCGCAGGTGCCTCTCGGACACGGCGAGCGACTACGTGGAGTTCTCCAACTTCCGCACGGTGGACCGCAAGATCCCGCGCCACTGCGGCAACCTGCGACCGACAAAAATCGAGTCCGACGCCGACTTCTTCCGCGTCTCGTTCAAGTCCAACGACAAGTTCGACGGCACCGGATTCGAGGCCTTCTACCAGTTCAGAAACAACCCCGGTGCGTATCTCTTACTTTTCTTGTTATTGCTATAGCAATTTTATGGGCACTCTCAACGGGTCTTTTGACGTCGCCGTCATGTTCCGTATAAATTCCCAATTGATAGCATTCCCCTGTGCATTTCATGTTCAACTCGTGGGTGAAAATGCGAAAAAGGGAGCCTAAACATGGCTGAAGCAGAGATAAGACGAGCCGATCCATCTCCGCCGCACGGAGAGCTCACGTGATATCACCCAGCGTGCAAGACCTGCCCACGATGGCTGCTCTGACAAAGAGTAAATGACCCACCTGTCTAGAAAGAGCACGAAGGTATGTGAAGGCATGTGTCACTCGAGCAGCAGCTGTGAGCTTTTGATTATGAGGGCCTGGTCTCGATCACTAGAGCACGCCCTATCTCGGCAGCCATCACCAGACGGTTTATATATCATTCTACGAGCTGCGCTGTTAATGCAAAGAGACTGCGTGAAAACCACCATTTTCCCTGTAAAAGAAGAAGAAGAACAAAACTTTATTAGCGAAAAAGACTTCGTTGCCACTAAAACAGGGCAGCGCCACGTGGTCGGGCCCCTATGCCAAGACGCCGCTGGCTCTCGCCATCCTTTCAGCTTTCCTGACCAGGCTCCGCTCGTCCTCAAGGTCTGGGCTGGACAGCATTGCCACCCACATCTCCACTGCTGTTGTCCTCTTCGTGTACTTCGGTGTGTGCCGTAAATTCCCACGTTCTGTGGTAGAGCGTCGGTGTGCTTCCATACCGCGGGCATATGTCCTTGTATGATGTCGGTAGTGCGTATGTAATCTGTGGATTTTTATGTATGTGTATGTTTGGAGTCGGCGTAATGTCACAGAATCCATGGCCGAAAGGTTCTTGTGTGGTCCTGGGTAATGTATCGGCGAATCTCTGTAGTATTGCAGGATCGCTTTGTAACTGGGATCGATGGGTGTCGGGTCCTCCACGGGGTCGCCATCGGCAGCTCGGTAATTAGTGATACCTCGAGCCCCCCCATCTGCATAGAGGTTCCCCGTAACATCCTCGTGTCCCGGGGCCCAAGTGATTGTCTGGGTATAGAGTATGTCTAGCTTCCTGCTACTTTATGTCAGTATCCGGTGTCCCTTGACACCGATTTTCCCTTTCTGATAATTTCTACATGCAGCATAGAATCTGTGATGACAGTCAGCGAAGTGTTGTGCTCCATGCCTTTCCTTATAGCTAAGGCAATGGCAATGTTATCTGCTTGTATGACAGTTGCTTGAGAAACCGAAGCACAGGCTATGATCTTGCCGCTTCTGTTTACCCCAACCACTACCATATTTTTTGCATTGGCCCAGTATGGCGAAGCATCCGTGAATCTCGAAACATTCGGGAACCTTGTTGCTTTGTCGATATATTCCGCTCGAGCTTTTCTCCGCCCTGCATGTAATGTCGGATCCATGTTTTGTGGTATTGGTGATACCCCATACAAATCTCTGATCTGGCATGGTAGTGCTTTGGTCCTTTATTGTGTGTGCATACACCTTTCACGGCCGACTCTATGAAAAAAGAGCTCTGCCAGCTGGAGTTTGCCCCAATCGAGTCCTCTGTGCTATGATTTGAGGCTCAGACAGCTCATCAAAGGCGTTGTGGAGGCCGGGGGATAGAAGCTTCTCACTAGAAGTGTTACACGGCAACCTCAATACTTTCTTATATGCCATCCTTATAATTTGGTCAGCCTTATCTTGTTCCCCCCTATTCAGGACATGGTAAGGGAGCGAGTACATCACTCTGCTGATTACCAGGCTTTTCACAAGTCCGAGGGTGTCATGCTCCCCCATCCCTCTCCTATTATGGGCCATGTGGGCTATCATCCGATTAATCTGATTATCATCCAATTAAGACACCTGTTGTTCGATTGTAGTCACATTCCCAGCACTCTAAGTGTTCTCCGCTCCGGAATAACCGTCAAGTGAAGCCGGATCTCGAGTGCGAGTCCGGGATCTTCTCTTTGTTTCCTGTCTTTTGTGAGGCAAATTAGTTCTGACTTCTCCGGCGAGCACTGTAATCCCCTTTCGTTTGTATATGCTTCTATTATATTGGCTGTCAATTGGAGCTTTTCCTCCATTTCGCCCAAGTTGCCCTTTGTTATCTTTATTGTTATACCATCCGCATATGGAGAATGTTGAGTGTCTGGAATTTCTAGGAGCTTTTTAGCCAGTCCAATCATGGCTATGTTGAAGAGTGTATGTGAAATGGCTGATCCTTGTGGTTTGCCTCTGATCGGAGGATGAATGACGTTGGATTCATCGTATTCTACTTTGATGACAGCTGTTCTTTCGTTCAGGAAGCTTCGAACGTACTGATACGTCCTAATACCACAGTTGGTCTCGGCTAAGCCGTCAAGTGTCCCTTTGTGGCTTACGTTGTCAAAGGCTCCTTTTATGTCAATGGCCATGACAATGTGTTCTCCTGGTTTGGTGACGTTGCTTAAAACTTCCTCTTTTAAAAGCAGGAGAATATTCTGTGTTGTAAGATGTGGCCTGAAGCCAAAGATGGTGTCAGCCATGAGGTTATTTTCTTCAAGATGACGTTGTAGTAGAATGTTTACTATTCTTTCGAACACATTTCTTAGACATGATGGGAGAGATATGGGGCGAAAATTTTTCAAAGTCAATTTCTTCCCTGGTTTTGGGATCATGATAATAACAGCGTGTTTCCATTGATGTGGTATCATTTCTTTAACACAATGATCATTTATGAAGCTCGTGAGCGCTGTGATAGATTCATCGTTCATGTTTCTGATCATGGCATTTGGTATTTGATCCGCCCCTGCCACTGTGTTCCGCTTTGTACAGGCGATTGCTTCTCACACTTCTGCTTCCGTGAAGAGCTCGTCCATTCCTGGGTGTGGGTGGCCATTGTAGTCAACTTGGTACAGAGGTGTCGACACTTTGTCACCGAAGCATTTGGTATAGACTGCATTGAGAAGTTGGTCTTCAGTGCCTGGTACGAGTGTAACAATCTCTTCAAGTTTTTCTGGCTTTCGCGTCGTGTTTTGAGTGGGTCAATCATTGATCTAAGGATGCTCCACGCTTTCGCTCTTCCTAGTGTTCCCTGTAATGTACCACAAAAGCGTTCCCAGTGTGTTGTTGCAAGTTGATTAGCGTATTCTTCCGCCTCTTGTGTTATGTTTTTTTTATTTTAATTTTGAGCTTTCGGTTGCGTTTTTGCCGTTTCAATCACTTGGTCAAGCTTCTTCGTGCATCGCACAAATGTAGTAGGCGAGGGTTGACTTCAGGTGTTTTCTCCGTCCTGGTGACACTTTTGGTGTGTTAGGCCATCCTCATGTATGGAGTGGTACGGCATCCTCATGTGTTCCGTCCAGAGCAGCCAGAGCGGCATCATCGGCGCGTTCGTTTCCTATGATGCCACTGTGACTTAGAAGCCACTGAAACGTCACGTGGTGCCCTTTCATGTGTGATGTGTGAATAAGATTACGAATTTCATATACGAGCTCATTGTACGGCCCGCGACGCAGTGCTGTTTTCGCTGCCCTGATAGTGGTCATTCTTTTTCGGCGTTACAGATCCTTTCACAGTCCGACAAGTCTCCGCTGTGCAGAACAAGCAAAATGGTAAGTAACAGAGAACATCTGCTCATTGGTCGGGTTATTCCATGTTCGAGTACTTGAACCTTATTTTGCAACGCAGTCGGAGAGTTAATCACAGAGCTGGAAACTATTCTAAATTGACATTACACTAGTGCTTGACGGCTGTTTTGTTTTTATGCTTATCCTGAGCATCAGGTCAAGGGTAATTCCACGTAAGATCGAACAAAGCATGGCTGGTCAACCTCCTAATTTTTTTTTCAAAAACATTATACATTGTTTCCGGGTGAGTGGAAAGAAGAGATCCGCAACTGGTTTCACTGTAAATTGTTTAGAGGCACAGTAAATCAATAATGATGGAGAGTTGGAGTGCCATGCTTACCTGTTCTGCTGCTTCTTTCAAATTTGGCGATGAATTACACGAATGCTTTTAAAGCTACCAGTCTCAAATTCATTTGGCTACATATGGGCTTACTGGCGCTTATGTTCAATTACATTTCGTTTGCCAACGTAGTGTGCATTTGTTTGAAAAATTCTCAAATTTGATCCGAAAACCTTTTTTTGCCTAGTTTGCAGGTTTTTATTTCACAAAGCACCTATGGCAGAGTGGTGAAAATTTCGCATTTTTTTCAACATGCCTATTTATAAAACTGCCAAAGCTTTTACTAATAGCACTTCTCCATAAAAAGATATAATCGGGCTAACTTCATGAAAAGAGCATGCAAGGGAAACTTCTGACGACGATTAAAAAACGTCTTTTATATTTTTATAGTTTTCTCACTTATTCTACTGTACATCGACTTTCACAATCGATAAAAACATGTTGCATTATATGGTTTAGCTTGCAGTAACAGCCCGTAAAAAAATTCCCTTGCGCAAGGACTGATGAAGTCTATTTGCTATGGTGTTGAGACTCTTATATATTTCTTTTTCAATATAGTAGACGCCGATTATGATATGTGAGTAATGCGTTACAGTGGCTATCATTTAAGAAAAGACACTGTCAAAACGAAGAGAATGTCCAGTCGTGGCCAATACGAGTTGCATGCATCACGCTGTCTGAGCTCGAAATGACGTCCACGCTGCAAATCAGCACCTACGTAGAAAAAAATAACAGGTGACTTAAATTCTCCCTTAGCGGTTCTTTCTGAAGAAATTTAACGTTTGTTCGTGTCATTGTTCAGGCTTGGGGTCACTTTACCCACAGCCAGCGTGCGGCAAGTCATGTGTATACATTTCTTATCAAAAAATAACGTCAGAGGAAACGTAAACGTTAAAAAAAATTTTCACACTTTTCACCAATGTTTTAATCAGAAAAGCAATAAGATTTGAGGAAAAGCGCTCTCTAATTACCAATAATTAGGTATTCAGATGAACAGTGAGGTGCACATCACGAATAGCGTAATGCAATCAGGCCCTTTATCTTTGTCGGTCGATGTTCGTCTTCCAGCACTTTTTGTTGCGTTTTTTTTTTGCGTTTTCTTTATTGCAGTAAGTGGCTGAGCCTGACCAGATTATGCGCTGTTTACAAACCAGATTATCAAATAGAAGCAAAGATGCAGTAATTTTTATCGTATTAAGAGGCGTAGACCTTAAGTATAATGAGCGGCATGTAGCAGGAACCCCCGACGCTGTTCGTGTTTATAATGCAAACACTCCTTGACAAGGTTACCGCTCTCAACGCAGTAGCCCCACTGTGCACGCAACTCTACTTTGGAAAGGGCGCTTTCTTCATCATATCGACCCTTTTGCAAACTAGATTGAATGGGTGTCTGTTGGAAACACTTCTTTCAAGGGAGTACTGGTTGATTCCGACAGTCCGTTTTGTTTGTTCTCCTTCTTCTTGCTCGTGGTAGGGAGAATTGAAATTTCGCATTTATTCAATGCCCACGCTTTGCTGAACTTTTCGTAAAATATAAAAATGAAGTGTTATTTTTGAAGGCAGCAGTCGCATTGCACTTCTACTTCAATATCATTTGCTTGGCAGAGTTGTAGTCAGATTTTTTTTATTTAGTGCACACACCCGCCTGAATTGCCTGTTTATTAGTATGCTCACGTGACCGATGGATCACATGTTCGTGTCAGTAGTCTGTTGTAGCAGTTACACAAGAATGGACCTTAAAAACAATAACAAGGTTTTAGCGCATTGTGTACAAGCATCATACCATTTACCGCAAATACGGAGCTTTAGTACATGTTAATTTTGGTGCTCAGTGAGACTTCAAAGCACTGCCGAACGACAATGCAAAGAAAGCGGCTGCACGACAACATGCGGCATACTTCGTTTCTTTTCGTTTTTTTTTTCGCAGGTTGATTCTCGCGTGCGCGAGTCACACACGAGAAAATTTATTGCATCAATCAGTTTGTTGATTCAAATGCTTCATCACGTCACTGTATTTCCCTTAAACCCTTTATATGCGCGTGCATATATAATTATGATCCGCCTTACGAATTCCTCTATGTTCTCTCTCTTTTCAGTGCACAGATCTTCGCCCGCAACCGCCCTGCTGTCTCTGGTTCTGCTGTGGCTTCTGGTAGCCGATCACTGAGGCGATCCAGGCGGGCCTCTCTCTTTCCGCTTTACTCAAAAAGCCACTCACTCGCCGAGTTCAAGTCATACCCTCATCTCTCTACGTTCTCGATGTGTTCTCACGGTCACCGAAAAAGTGTAAACGAAGCAACAAAAAACAAAGAAAGCACAAAGGCATCGACATACTTCACAACTCGCGCCTCACCGCACCTCCGTTGGTGCTCAGAGCTCGACTGTCTTCGTACGCAGAACAGGACGAAGATTGTGCTGTGTGTGTGTGTATGTGTGTGTATTCGACGTACCCGCCGTGGAAAACGACGCTACAATTCAATGCGCACAGACTGTCGGTGATGAACTTCGCGCCGATTTCACTCTACCCTCTCGACGTCTCCCTCACCTCGCCTCCAACGTGAACTTCAAATTCTTCTTTTCCTCCTATCAGTGCTTCTCCACTTATTATTCGTGTGCGGCCGGCACGAAGGGCCTTTTGAAGCTCGACGTCGTTTTTTTTTTTTCGCTGTTATGTGAGCGCTCGTTTATGTGCGCGTGTGTACCGTGCTCGTGTGTGCGTGTGTGGCATATCATTGGAACGCACTCCTTCCTCACGAAAAAACAAAGAACTGTCATTGAAGAACCTCGGTGAAGACGTTCGCAGCACGTCTTCACGGTGGCCGGAGAGGACTCAATGGTGGAAACATGGGAAAGTCGTGAGAAACAAAACTGAACAATACGAATGATGGTGCGTCATCCTGTGTAGTATCTCTATCTCTCTATCTCTATCTCGAAGAGCGAAATTAGAGCAGCGTTATATAGGCGCGGTCACCGCGACGTATTACACTGTTCCCGAAACGAGGACAGTGACCCCTCTCCGCGACATGTCACTGACCCGACATCCCGTTCGAGCTTGCGTTATTGTTTTCCTTTTCGCTTTTGTTGTTTCATTTTGTTACTTAGAATCTCCCCGACACTCGAAATGAAGAAGAAATGGGCTTGGACGGGGTATGTTGCGAGAAGCTGGGGTAACCGCTGTTTGTTAAAGAACTGGATTGTAAATGGAGGAAAGCGCACATGGGGAAGGCCGAAATTTCGGTGGGTAGGTGGGATTTAAAAGCTTGCGTGAGTAAAGTGGCCACACGATGCACAGGACCGGATTGAACAGCTTTTTTTATGGTTCCACTACACACACGCTGTCCCCTAGTGGGAAAATTTTGAAACGTTGCTGTAGGGTCTCCGGACACCTTCATGTCTCTGAGGCCGTTATTCTAGCCGTACCGCTTGTTCCAAATCACCCGCTGAGCTTTGCCTCCCGACAATGGCAGCAGAGGGCAGCACAGAAAAGGGAAAAAGGCGGATTGTAGAAACGAGGTGCTGGACACTGCCCTGCATCGGGTCAGGCTGACGATAATGACGCTGATAGTGGAGATGGTGATCAAGCACAAAGTGATAAGAGGCCGTTCGTCAAAATATGAACGATGTTGTCTTCGAAAGGGGCCGCTTGCCCTTGCCCAGTTCACAATGAAAATCGAGCGAAGGGTGGCATGTTTTTCGAGTGCGTTTAGCTGGTGTTGATGAAGATTTCAGTCTGCTTCCCGTTCGTGTATGGCTACAGAATCTCATAAAGTCGTTCACGTATGTGACACTAAAACAATGTGTTCATATAAATGTGTTGCGCACGCGGTAGTAGTTGAAATACTTTCTTTTCGTATGAGAACTATCTCCATCTGTGAGCAGGCCGAGGCGGCAAAGAAAATTGGTGCTGGTTTTCCAGTCAGAAAAAAAAATGTACTGAGATTGGACCCGACACCAAGGCCCAATAACGGTGGTCGTTGTGTGATATGGACAAACATTGCTGAATGGCAACGCGAGGATGAGTCCGTCTAAATGCTCGAAGCACAGGAATTCCATATAAACTTATATTGATCGTTTGGTGTTCTTGTTCTAAAAGAACTTGGCGCTCTCTTTGTTGCTAATCTCGTGTCTATACATGCGATTGCGATAGCACTTATATAAGCACTCTAGGCGCTATTTCACCGTGGCTGTCGGCGTGAGGTCCCGTTAAAGTCCAAAAGCTACAACATGAAACCGATCACCGTATACTCTATATGCGAGCTTTCGTTTATTTTTTCATACGATTCCACTCTTACGCTACGCTCCTTGTAGTTCAGAGAACTAAGATCACGCGCCTGTGAGCATGGCAGCGTTTTCTCGAATAGAATCTATCGGGCGTGCAGTTTTGAAAAAGAAATGTGAGCGTATATCAAGTTTACTCTTATAAGTTGTTGAATTTGCAGCAATAAGTTAGTCACAATGTCGTTACCCTGACATGCTCTAAATGACGGGTTCGCTCCTCTCTGTGGCTATATACCGCACTTGGGTAGCGGTGATACAAAAAAACAAACAAATGCCGGATATGAAAAATTGACTTGCAGTTTTCCCGATACGCGGTGCACAAGTGGTGGGACCATGACTTCTGCACTGAAAACAGCGTAGTAATGTTTTTGTTGTTTTTGGCGACACTATCAAGCACAACGCCTGCATTTTTTTAGTATGCGCTTGGATATTCGGGAACAATACTGCCTCACGTCACGCTCGGCCAGTGTCCTTACTTGGTTGCTGTAGTGACACGACCGCGCCGAAAAGGTGTTGACCATCACGGGTTCGAATGCTATGCAGTAAGCTCATTGCTATTATTTAACGCTTTCTTTTGTGGCGACCACTCTCAGCTTTGCTTGCTAGCTTATTGCTGCCTTCTGATGAGTATTCGAGAAAGTTGGAGCGCAAAAATAAACATACACCTAGGTCAAGAAACACCAGATAAGTGCGCCTTTTTTTGCTTTAATTTTCCCAATTTTCATATTCTCGCCAGAAATCAGGTTTGCTTGAACGATCTTTTGAAATGGTTTTCATTTCATATAGAACATTCACCACCTTTCAGACAGGCGCAGAACTGATATTCCACTGTTCTCGTTCTGCGGTTTGTGCTCAACACTCTCCTTGTTTAAAGAGATGGTTCTTTATTTTTCTTGTTTTTTTCTAATAGAAGTTATACTGACATTTCTTAGCCTTGCTTTACAACTGAGTAGATCCCCCCTCTTTCATATATTTTTCCACTTCCCTTCTTCTTCTTCACACTGTGATTCTTATCAGAATCTGGCTTGTGAATTCATACGCTAAAGAAAAGACAAAACAGTTCGTTGACTTTTCTTGTTTTCTTTTTTTGGCTAGCGCTGACTGCCAACGTATAAGACCCTAATTGAAGAAACATGTGAACTCTCTTCGAGATTCTCTTTCGAGATACTCGTTGGCCCGAAATAGAGTCGGTCTATTTTTAAAAAGACTTGTATACGCGACAAATCAGGACTCGCCGAAAAGTTGCACACACATTGGTTTATTTTTTTAAGTACATTGCGATTCCTTCTAGACAAAGAGCAGCCGCATTCTTGTAGATCAAACGCTCGTTCACATCTGCGACAAGCACTGCTCGCGCGACGAAGTTTGTCGCAATGCGACGACTGATTGCACATGCTCATGAATTGCCTTTTTTTTGGCCGCGAAGTGACTGCTTTGGCTCAGTCGCTCGCTACTCCTTTTTTTTTTTTTCCAGACGAGCGACTGCAGCCGCAAAACACTGAACCAATGACGTGCGCAACAACACGAAGTCAACTTATTTTGCGGGGAAACGGCAATGTGAACCACATGCGAGCAGGTGTTAATTCTTTGCGGCGGCAACGGGTAAAAGATTGGTATAGATTCCGTATGCTTGTAAACAGTGGTAGGCGCCGTCGACATACTGAGGCGCTTGTAGCGACGTCGTGGGGCGCGTAGCTCCGCCCAGCTAAATTTAGGTCCGTAGAAGCTCGCCACCGCACTCTGTGATCACGTGACAACTATCACAGGCAATTGCCTCCGAGATCGGCGCGTTCGGGAGACTCTCGAGTGAACAAGCGGGAGGCTCCCGGATGCGCCTGGGATTTCGGGAGCAGGGGAGCTCCCCGACGCTGTGAGCCTCCGAGATATTCGACGCGCGAGAGACTCCGCGACGCGCTGTGCTCGAAGGCAGCTTCGCAGCCGCTGTGCGACTCGTCACGTGATCACAGAGGACGGTGGCGAGCTTCAGCATTGGCGGAGCCCGAGCGCTGGGACGTCACTACAAGCGCGCTGGGACGTCACTGGGACGTCACTTCAGTATGTCAACGGCACCTACCGCTGTTTACAAACATGCAATAGGTCTAAAAGTCACACGTAGGTGGCAGCACCGGTCGCCTTGAGTGTTTATTTAGTCACTAGTCGGAAATGACAGTGCGACCGGTAGTGGTCGCAGCTGTGAATGAGCCTTAACTGTGTCATTTTACTGCTGCTATGTGTCCGTGTAGATGAGCACGATGGCGTGCACCAGCCGCTCGACTTTCATGTGGCATTCGGTCTTTGAAACGTCTCTGTATATACTACTCTCTTGTATCGCGCGCACAAGCAAGCGGAAGCGATACCCGTGTGTCATGTTGCTCGCGTTGTCATATTGATCGGTTTGCACTCTGTAAATCCGTTGCGCGTTCCGATATTGTTTACGCTTCTCTTCAAGAAAGTTGATGTGCACGGTAAGAGCATGATCAATACAAATGTAAGCACAAGAAGTTGTTAATAGTGCAATCTTGTTTTTATTTTGTCTGATTCCATCGATGAACAATAAAAAGAATTAACACCTTGGGGCGTTGGAGTATTGATCGTGGGTGCATCGACTTGGTCTCCAAGAGATCGACCTTAATCGTCGGACAATGACCGTCAGAAGCGTGGTCATATTAGATAGTTTACTTTTGGTTGAAGTTTAATCTCATTTTAACGAAATTGTTTTTAGTTTCATCTAAAAAGGTATGAATATGGGCTTTAAGTATTTTGCTGTAGCATTTTTGAAACTTTGACTGAATTTAAGTAGAATTCCTTTTGGGCCAATTTCGAACCAAGAAAGGTAAGCCTTTAGCCTTTGAAAAACTTCTATTCTTATACTTTGTCAACTCTAATCCAATTTAATTAAAATTCATGTTCTTTCCATCTTTAACTAAATTATGAACCTTTGGGGGTAATCGTTCTTAGTTTTTCACAAACATCGATCCAATTTTATCTTAAACCAAAATGTTAACCTTCAAAATCTTCGATCTCTAGATTCTTGAAACTAAAATTCAGATTCTTTTGATC